TTTGCCTGCACTACATTTTCTTGCCCCGGATAAATGAGAGTCTTGATAATTGGAAGAAGGCATGGATTAAGCATCCTATGCGTTCAGAGCACAATCTATCACCTGAGCAATTATGGGCTACCAGTTTTCCTGGCGGTATTGAGGGAATTGACTCTTCTGTATTTCCTACTGATTTTTTTGAAAACAGTATTGATGTAAGTTTTGTTTTACCCTTAAACATGATTTTCTTAAATTATAATGTACATAGAATTTATGGCATGCATTTGCTTTAGATGTAATTCTCTCTATTTATATAGGCTAGCCAGTATGGGTTTGACTGGGATGGACCAATTGGTAACCATAGTCCGGATGAAGTAGTGGTTGTAGATGTACCAGAAATCCATTTTTCACCCCAAGAGGTACTATGCCACATTTTAGAAATGAATGTCAATCCAGTAGCTGAAAGTGATGAATATGGAATTGATCTCTATGTCAAATGTAAAATGATTGTACTTGATTTCTTGAGTAATCGTTAATAATGGTATTGTTGATGATTGATTCACAAATTTCTTTTTTGTAAATTTCTGATTTCTAAAATGAAGTTAAAGCAGGTTGAGAAGATTTTCTTGCATTACGTAGTTCTAATTAAGGCACCTAAGACTTTCAGTTACTGTTATACTAATAATAGATGTGTCTGCAATCTGCATGATGCTTGTCAGCACTTATAGCAGTTTAAAATTGTATTATAATTGCAGCAGAAAGATTTAAATGTGTAAGGTACTGAACTTGGGGGTTTGTACACCAAGCCATGGCATGGGTTTTTCTGTTAAAGCACTCGATCCGGAAACCTTCTCCATTGGGAAAACTATAAAAAGTTCTTGCATCTATGCCAAATTATGAAATATTAATAATGAACAGATTTGTAGTATCAGTTTAGGATTTATGCTGCAGTGCTGACATATCATCAAGTAGTTTGTTCAAGTAAGATCAATTATATATTTTCCCATTTGATGTTTCTCTGTTTGATTCTAGTCTAATTCAATCTATGTAGTATCAAGAGCACTGGACTATATTGCATGACAATACATTGTTGTATTGCTGTATGTTATTTTTTTATTTTTAATTGCCAAAAAAATATTTTTAAATATAATAATTTGTTACTACTATGCAGCGAAGGCATGCAATATGAAGCAGTTCATGAGGCAAGGTCCTTTCACTTGATCCACTCCAGGTTTAGCAATACAGAAATTGCATATTGATACATAAATAAATAAATGATTTTTTCAAGTATGTTAGCAGTGCAATTCCGATTGTTGTCTGGTATCAGCAGGTAGGTGTGCACAATTACTTGTTATGAAAAATATAAGTACTAAACTTGAATGAACAACTACAGAGATAATCAGCTAAACATACTTTCTGCATACTTAATAAGGGGGTGGGGCTGAAGGTTTTTAGCTGAAAACTCCAAAGTTTTACATCACAAGTCCCAGAAACACCAAAGATGTGCTTAATACAATAATTTGCTAGTGCTACAGCAAGTTTGAAAGGTTTTTGCAACCAAATTTCATATTTTGACTATTTTGACTAAAAACTTGGTTTCAGGCAGAATGTAACCATTTATTGGTTTACAGGGCTTGAAAAGCAAATCAGCTACTTCT